TTTTATTAAGGAGAGATCTAGCAACCAGGAGCATAATTGTTAGTAAACCAGAGTTATTGGAGGAGAGGTTAACATGGTTACTATTTCCTGTATGAATTGTACAGCGAGTGGGGCTATTGTTTGCTGCATCCGAAAATAATCCTGTTGCATATTTTGACTTTTAGCATCCATGAGTCGGCATCTGCGTTCATTTACTGGTGATATATAGTTTGCCTTGCAATTTGCGTTGTAGTTTACTGGACCCAGGTACCCTGTGTTAAGATTACCTTGGTAGTTGTGCCTCATGGGGCTTTCATAGTCGGAAGCATATTGGCTCACATCACGTGTGTGAGTGAAGTTGTTGAGGGGATCAAGTGTCGATCTATACTCATTATGTTGATGAGTTTTATCATAGATAGTGCGAGAGTTTGGACGAGAATTTTCATCAATATGGTACCTATGTGAGTCCCGCTTAGTGCTCCATATATCCTACGTTGCATTCCCAAGTTATGTGCGTTGCTAGACATGTTACTCCTAGTTCGGGAAGAGTTTTTCTTACTCACATGCTGCATGACGTTTTTGAGAATATGCTTTGTTACCCATGCATTGTTATTTTTTAGACTGACATGCTGCTTATTAGACTTATTGAGAGGGAAGTATGTCGAAGTCTGGAGTGGGACTCTAGGCTTTGTGGTCTTTCTTGCAGTTTCTACTGCGGGACTCTTGGGCTTGCATCCAGATTGACTGTGGTCTGCCAGTGGTTTCTGGTCAGCCATAGTTTGTGAGTCAATATCAACCTCATGTATGTCAGCAGGTTTTCCAGATGTGCTCTCATTTACTTTAAGATTGCACCCAGTGACACTGCTCTTACTGAGTTTCGGGTCGCTTTTACTTGCCGATTTTTCTCCCAACACTGTACACGTGAATTGCTGTGCTTCAGTGTCCGTCGACACTTTAGCACTGATACCAGATGTATTTCTCAGTGTGGTCAACTTTTTATCGAAGGAGTTCTTGGTTGCTTGCCTTTGGTCAGGTGTTTTATCCGAGACTACTTTAATAGTCTTGAATTTAGTGGCAGTAGCCAGAAGATCTTCAGCCTTCTTAAATCATTCAGCTATTATGTAGCTGTCGAACCTAAAGAGTATAGGACAGGAATGCTTTAGGTCCTTTTTACTTCTCGAATGCACTGACAAGGTGCACTCAAGAGATTTGCAGCCTTCAGCAATGAGTTCTGGTCCGACATTGTGAGCTCGCTATCTGGTACATTATAAAATATAGCGTTTTGTTTCGAGGTCAGCCTTTTAACAACTTCGCTGGATAGAAAGTCAATGGCGTTTTCTAAATCCTTCGCATTTTCTGAGTCAGTAGGCGTCATTCTAGACGATATATTAAAAAGGCAGATTAACAAAATTAAATTATAATAATAAAATAATAATATATTCTCAATTTTTACATGAGGGCGCCAGTTTACAGGCGTCATCGATATGATAAATTACATATACGATTAGTAAACATGTTCAATAATAGTAATTTAATAAAATGCTTCTTTTCCTAACTGTGTAGGATACACAAATTGTACAGGCATGGATAAGTATTATTTAAATTACATAAATTCGGTTCATGGTAAAATTATAAGGTTGCAGTCATTGTGTCTATGGGAACAATATGATAACTAGTCATTCAATGGAGCACATCAAGAAATATAGAAATATTGTCTTCGCATTAACAAAAAACCCCAAGTATGTTTTGGATGGATTACAAATACTTGGGAAAAAAGTAAAGCTTGAAGTAATTCCTCCATATAACTTTGGTGTGTACGGCATCGAGTCTTATTCTTGATTTATATCCAAATTTGATAATAATTTAAAATAAGCAATACACTTGTATACATTTGTCAACATTTTCTTCGTAACATCACAAGTTAATGGTACTCAATGTAGACTAATAATAATGACAGCTTATATTTTCTTATAAACGGGTGATTTTAGGAGATTCAAGCTATTTCCGCAGACAATATCAGTTAGGTTGTAAGTTACAATCATGAAGCGCTTCAAATACTTTAAATGCTACTTCAAATCTCATCTTTACTTGATCCTCATAAATGCTAGATCTGTTCTAAATAAACTACCGATGCTCAGAACACTCACAGTAATATACAAACCCCCTATAATTGTCATCACTGAATCTTGGTGTAATTCGAACATACTGGATGATGAGATAAGCTTGGATAACTACACACACTTTCGATGTGACAGGGAAGGTGGTAATGGAGTGAGTTGTCTCATGTACTTTCTGAATACCCTTACTGTATCACAGCTAGAAAGTGGTACACTTAACATGCCTGATGCTATATGGGTTAACTTTCACTTAGTAAACATGTTCAATAATAGTAATTTAATAAAATGCTTCTTTTCCTAACTGTGTAGGATACACAAATTGTACAGGCATGGATAAGTATTATTTAAATTACATAAATTTGGTTCATGGTAAAATTATAAGGTTGCAGTCATTGTGTCTATGGGAACAATATGATAACTAGTCATTCAATGGAGCACATCAAGAAATATAGAAATATTGTCTTCGCATTAACAAAAAACCCCAAGTATGTTTTGGATGGATTACAAATACTTGGGAAAAAAGTAAAGCTTGAAGTAATTCCTCCATATAACTTTGGTGTGTACGGCATCGAGTCTTATTCTTGATTTATATCCAAATTTGATAATAATTTAAAATAAGCAATACACTTGTATACATTTGTCAACATTTTCTTCGTAACATCACAAGTTAATGGTACTCAATGTAGACTAATAATAATGACAGCTTATATTTTCTTATAAACGGGTGATTTTAGGAGATTCAAGCTATTTCCGCAGACAATATCAGTTAGGTTGTAAGTTACAATCATGAAGCGCTTCAAATACTTTAAATGCTACTTCAAATCTCATCTTTACTTGATCCTCATAAATGCTAGATCTGTTCTAAATAAACTACCGATGCTCAGAACACTCACAGTAATATACAAACCCCCTATAATTGTCATCACTGAATCTTGGTGTAATTCGAACATACTGGATGATGAGATAAGCTTGGATAACTACACACACTTTCGATGTGACAGGGAAGGTGGTAATGGAGTGAGTTGTCTCATGTACTTTCTGAATACCCTTACTGTATCACAGCTAGAAAGTGGTACACTTAACATGCCTGATGCTATATGGGTTAACTTTCACTTAGTAAACATGTTCAATAATAGTAATTTAATAAAATGCTTCTTTTCCTAACTGTGTAGGATACACAAATTGTACAGGCAGGGATAAGTATTATTTAAATTACATAAATTTGGTTCATGGTAAAATTATAAGGTTGCAGTCATTGTGTCTATGGGAACAATATGATAACTAGTCATTCAATGGAGCACATCAAGAAATATAGAAATATTGTCTTCGCATTAACAAAAAACCCCAAGTATGTTTTGGATGGATTACAAATACTTGGGAAAAAAGTAAAGCTTGAAGTAATTCCTCCATATAACTTTGGTGTGTACGGCATCGAGTCTTATTCTTGATTTATATCCAAATTTGATAATAATTTAAAATAAGCAATACACTTGTATACATTTGTCAACATTTTCTTCGTAACATCACAAGTTAATGGTACTCAATGTAGACTAATAATAATGACAGCTTATATTTTCTTATAAACGGGTGATTTTAGGAGATTCAAGCTATTTCCGCAGACAATATCAGTTAGGTTGTAAGTTACAATCATGAAGCGCTTCAAATACTTTAAATGCTACTTCAAATCTCATCTTTACTTGATCCTCATAAATGCTAGATCTGTTCTAAATAAACTACCGATGCTCAGAACACTCACAGTAATATACAAACCCCCTATAATTGTCATCACTGAATCTTGGTGTAATTCGAACATACTGGATGATGAGATAAGCTTGGATAACTACACACACTTTCGATGTGACAGGGAAGGTGGTAATGGAGTGAGTTGTCTCATGTACTTTCTGAATACCCTTACTGTATCACAGCTAGAAAGTGGTACACTTAACATGCCTGATGCTATATGGGTTAACTTTCACTTAGTAAACATGTTCAATAATAGTAATTTAATAAAATGCTTCTTTTCCTAACTGTGTAGGATACACAAATTGTACAGGCATGGATAAGTATTATTTAAATTACATAAATTTGGTTCATGGTAAAATTATAAGGTTGCAGTCATTGTGTCTATGGGAACAATATGATAACTAGTCATTCAATGGAGCACATCAAGAAATATAGAAATATTGTCTTCGCATTAACAAAAAACCCCAAGTATGTTTTGGATGGATTACAAATACTTGGGAAAAAAGTAAAGCTTGAAGTAATTCCTCCATATAACTTTGGTGTGTACGGCATCGAGTCTTATTCTTGATTTATATCCAAATTTGATAATAATTTAAAATAAGCAATACACTTGTATACATTTGTCAACATTTTCTTCGTAACATCACAAGTTAATGGTACTCAATGTAGACTAATAATAATGACAGCTTATATTTTCTTATAAACGGGTGATTTTAGGAGATTCAAGCTATTTCCGCAGACAATATCAGTTAGGTTGTAAGTTACAATCATGAAGCGCTTCAAATACTTTAAATGCTACTTCAAATCTCATCTTTACTTGATCCTCATAAATGCTAGATCTGTTCTAAATAAACTACCGATGCTCAGAACACTCACAGTAATATACAAACCCCCTATAATTGTCATCACTGAATCTTGGTGTAATTCGAACATACTGGATGATGAGATAAGCTTGGATAACTACACACACTTTCGATGTGACAGGGAAGGTGGTAATGGAGTGAGTTGTCTCATGTACTTTCTGAATACCCTTACTGTATCACAGCTAGAAAGTGGTACACTTAACATGCCTGATGCTATATGGGTTAACTTTCACTTAGTAAACATGTTCAATAATAGTAATTTAATAAAATGCTTCTTTTCCTAACTGTGTAGGATACACAAATTGTACAGGCATGGATAAGTATTATTTAAATTACATAAATTTGGTTCATGGTAAAATTATAAGGTTGCAGTCATTGTGTCTATGGGAACAATATGATAACTAGTCATTCAATGGAGCACATCAAGAAATATAGAAATATTGTCTTCGCATTAACAAAAAAACCCAAGTATGTTTTGGATGGATTACAAATACTTGGGAAAAAAGTAAAGCTTGAAGTAATTCCTCCATATAACTTTGGTGTGTACGGCATCGAGTCTTATTCTTGATTTATATCCAAATTTGATAATAATTTAAAATAAGCAATACACTTGTATACATTTGTCAACATTTTCTTCGTAACATCACAAGTTAATGGTACTCAATGTAGACTAATAATAATGACAGCTTATATTTTCTTATAAACGGGTGATTTTAGGAGATTCAAGCTATTTCCGCAGACAATATCAGTTAGGTTGTAAGTTACAATCATGAAGCGCTTCAAATACTTTAAATGCTACTTCAAATCTCATCTTTACTTGATCCTCATAAATGCTAGATCTGTTCTAAATAAACTACCGATGCTCAGAACACTCACAGTAATATACAAACCCCCTATAATTGTCATCACTGAATCTTGGTGTAATTCGAACATACTGGATGATGAGATAAGCTTGGATAACTACACACACTTTCGATGTGACAGGGAAGGTGGTAATGGAGTGAGTTGTCTCATGTACTTTCTGAATACCCTTACTGTATCACAGCTAGAAAGTGGTACACTTAACATGCCTGATGCTTTATGGGTTAGCTTTCACTTAAATAACGCAATAGTATTGATTGGATGCACCTGCAGAGCACGCGGCACGTTTAGTAATTACGAGACCCAACTCATTACTACTCTGGAACAATTATCCCCTCTACAATACGATTATAAGATCCTATGTGGAGACTTCAACTTACCAGAAATCAACTGGGAAATACCCACAGGCCCAACTAAATTTGATAGGTTCTTAGGCACACTGGATATACTTGGCTGGAAACAGACTGTCACAACCCCTACAAGAGGTAATAACGTACTAGACTTAATCTTCTGCTACAATATACGTTCCCTTTCTGCCCTAGTAGGTTCTCAGTTTTCAGGGAGTGACCACAAAACAGTGCTGTGTGCACTGCCACTTCCGTCTAGTAGCAATGCAGCCCATACCCCTACTTCACAACAAATAACATACAGGAACTACAGTAAGGGAGACTGGACTCTAGTGAAATCAATGCTAAGATCCTCAGAATGGAGAGAGTATTTCTATGCTGATAGCCTCTCGAAAGCTCTAGACATTTTTTACTATAACTCCAACACATGCTTAGATGCTGTCATCCCACTTCAAACATTAAAGTTTTCCCCACATAGAAAGTCATTCATAAAGCCAAAGGATCGTAGGAACCTGAAAATACATTCAACAAGCTACTTCAGACGACACTACTTAAGAACACTAGGGTCAATACTTAGTACTCTTAGCTCCATCTCGCAAGCTCATAACATGCGTATGAGAAATGAAGAATGCACCGCACTAACCGGCACCACCAGAGTAGGTGCTCTCACAGAAATTCTAAACAAACGAATGAATCGCCAAAGCCATAAAATTTCTCTCCTTATACACAAGGGCAAACTATACAGCAACCATTCAGACATGTGTGAACTGTTTAACGAGACGTTTGCAGCCAACTACCTTAAGCCCACAAGTCCACTTCTCGGTTTACAATCTACAATAGAACTCCCTTCTTCTTCAGTGCTGAAACAAATCACTACAGTTCATTTCACTTATTCTAATAGTAACCAAGCCATTAATACTCTTAAAAGCTCTAGTAGCGCTGGTTTTGGCGGTATACCATCGTATCTTCATAAACACTGTGGTTCTGACATTTCCGTTTTATTACTTAAGACCTGTACAATGTCCCTAGAAAGCCAAACCTATCCAGATAAATGGAAAGCAACATTTGTAGTACCCAAACACAAATCCGGATCAAAACCTGAAGTCAACAACTATAGGCCAATCAATATTACACCCATAGTATCTAGAATTATTGAAAGAATAGTTAAAGATGATATTCTCAAACATATGCTCAGCTGCAATATTCTAAGTCCAAACCAACATGGATTCCTAAAATTCAGATCATGCATGACATGTCACCTTGACTTCTTTAACTATATAACTAGTAGCCAAGACAAACAACAACATAGATATTTTAAGTTCATTAAACGTGTAGTTACAACAAACTACAATTATAAATTTTTATATGATTTTAAATACATGATAGACATTTTTACACAGGACAATAATATTAGTTCACACAATATAAAAGTTATCATCACGGGAATAGTTAGTTAGTGCACCAAAATAACTATAATTGCTGAACAGAATATAAATGTATACATACATATTAATCACTCCTTGAGGATTACGCTTGCTTTCTTTTGCGTTGTTGTTGTTTGTCTTCTTTTGTCTCTCACCATTTCAGCTTCCATTTGACTTTTTGAATGAGAATGAAGAATGTGGATATTTGACCATTTACAACGACAAATGATCTGCAAACATTATTGGTCCCATATCCTACGATTGCCTCGTGAATTACGCATTACCTTTCCCCACGACGCAACCTAAATTACAGTTGTGAAATATACCTTTATAACAATAAAAATGTATTGATTTATAGTACTTCACGATTGTAAATTACAACATAATTGATTGTACCTGCAAAAATAGCTTGCATTTCTTGAAAACACCCGTTTATAAGAAAATATAAGCTGTCATTATTATTAGTCTACATTGAGTACCATTAACTTGTGATGTTACGAAGAAAATGTTGACAAATGTATACAAGTGTATTGCTTATTTTAAATTATTATCAAATTTGGATATAAATCAAGAATAAGACTCGATGCCGTACACACCAAAGTTATATGGAGGAATTACTTCAAGCTTTACTTTTTTCCCAAGTATTTGTAATCCATCCAAAACATACTTGGGGTTTTTTGTTAATGCGAAGACAATATTTCTATATTTCTTGATGTGCTCCATTGAATGACTAGTTATCATATTGTTCCCATAGACACAATGACTGCAACCTTATAATTTTACCATGAACCGAATTTATGTAATTTAAATAATACTTATCCCTGCCTGTACAATTTGTGTATCCTACACAGTTAGGAAAAGAAGCATTTTATTAAATTACTATTATTGAACATGTTTACTAAGTGAAAGTTAACCCATATAGCATCAGGCATGTTAAGTGTACCACTTTCTAGCTGTGATACAGTAAGGGTATTCAGAAAGTACATGAGACAACTCACTCCATTACCACCTTCCCTGTCACATCGAAAGTGTGTGTAGTTATCCAAGCTTATCTCATCATCCAGTATGTTCGAATTACACCAAGATTCAGTGATGACAATTATAGGGGGTTTGTATATTACTGTGAGTGTTCTGAGCATCGGTAGTTTATTTAGAACAGATCTAGCATTTATGAGGATCAAGTAAAGATGAGATTTGAAGTAGCATTTGAAGTATTTAAGTTCGTTAGTCAGCCCGCAGTATGGTTCAGCATCCAGTAGTACTGTTTCGCATGACGACCCTTTGTTAAGAGGAGTTTCGTCATCATGCTCACCTATGTCTATCGGGTTGGTGTGTGCTGTATTCGGTGAAGAATTAAGCGTTGGAATCCTGGATTTGCTACAGTCTTAAGCATTTTTATTTTTAGTTTGTCTAGAAACGTGTATAGGGTTCTTCACTTGACGTATATGTTTGCAAGTATCAAATGTGCCCAATGGTTACGGATGCATTGGACTCATCCTGTTTTCATGGAAGCGGGGAGCTAGCACTAGTGGTTTATGAGTGTTAACATCCCTGCCAGCTGTCTTTTCAACGCTGACAGGGACGCAGGGGATAAATGATTATTGGATCCTTTTGATAACCATGGTTTATTATTCCACCTATTGTCTGATACTAGCTGTGTCCTTGTATGGGTTTCGTGTGTACTGCTTGTGCGTCAGTTCCTAGCTGACTTGTGCCATATATCCAATCAAAATTTATTTGTGTGCCATACTGCGAATACCCTGAGTTGTTGTTGATCGATTTCTGACTGTTGCCACTTGTACTATTGAGGGTGGCACTGTTTTGGCGTTGGTTATCAGTGTGTGCCGTGGTGCTATTTCGCACCTTGTGTTGCCAATACTATTGACCGTGTGGACTATGGGCTCATATATACGACCACTGTTGTTGTTAACATGCTTTGGGGTCATATTATCTTTCATTTTACCAATGGAATTATGGACAGGCGAGGACAGGGTCGACTTTCGGCGGATTTTGACATTTTTCCAGGATTATTTAGTGACATGTCTGTGTCTACGGTGATAGGTGGTATAGTTTTATTGGCTATATGATTATAATTTAGTAGCCTTTCGGTTGGTGTTGCTCTCTGAGAGGATAGTTCTGTGTGGTTTGAGAGGGGTGGTGCGGTGGATTCTACGATATCTCTCAAAGGGTTGGGTATAATTGCTGCTTGCAAAATCCTATTATTTATTCCACAAGATAATAATATGCACGCCTTTCTATGACTATCTTGTCCACCGCAACCTCTATTAGCTTGAAGTATCTGGCTTGTGATAGGGTGTGTCAGGATTTTGTTTCTGCCGGTGTTTCGAACTGAAAACGAATAGGACGACACTTTTCATGTTGACTCTTCTTCAGCCTGTAGCACTCAATCTTGGAGCTGGGCATTTTCGCCTCACTAAGTAAGATGCGCTGTACCCTTTTTAGTGCCTCATTGTCCGGAACGTTGTAGACAATAGCATTTAGTTTAGCGTCGAGTCGTCTTGTTACTTTTGTAGTAACAATGTTAGTAAGGTTATCCACCTTAGATACCGATTCCGTGCCAAGTTTGTTAAGGTCTACAGTTCTCATGAGGATGTTTAGAGGTGTCAGTCCATAGACCTGCGATCTGATGTCGCTGATCTGATCCGATAATTTGGATATTTTGGTATTGGTATCAGAAATTCCAGGATCTACTGACTTATTGTGTTTTTATTTCCCTTAACTCGGCCTTAAATTTTCCTATAGACAACTTTAGAAGTCCTATTTCTGTAGGTAGTACTGAAACATAGCTTGAAGGCTGGAGCTTTCCGATAGGCACATAAGGTATAGGGTGGGGTTCTGTCTGAGCAGAGGTTACTGAATTCTTAGGAGTTGTGTTAATAGTAGCTGTCAGTACAGGTTTATCCTCAGTTTCAGCTCGACGCTTACGACATACAAGTGAGTTATGTGGCTCACTATAACCGTTTGTAGGGAGTGTATTGCTTGATGTAGCAATCAAGGACGTAAATTTAGTCATCAGTTTTACAGGGGATTGAGTTCGTTGCTTTTTACTTTGATTAATCATAACCATTTGCTATGACAGTTGGTGGTTATAGGTATGGAGGAAGTAGACTACTTGGGAAATTACAACAAGATAAATTTTATGTAACGAATCACGCAAAAATGTAACGCAAACGTTGAACGTAACGCGCTAACAATGTCTCATCTGAGAATCCCTCCGAACATAACATAGGCAACCAGGAGTTAGGGATAGCAACAAGAAAACCCACTAATTACCCTCCCAACAAAACTGGTTTTCTGGAAATTATGCTCTTAAATGCTCGACATCCCCTTGACAAAATAACTTCCCTTCGCAGCTTCGTATACATGGAACGGCCAACACTGATCCTGGTAACTGAAACTTGGCTAACTAATGATATACCTGACACAAAGCTGATAATTGATAACTGTGACATCCACAGGAATGATACAGTGGACAAAAGAAGAGGCGGGTGTCTAATATATGCTCCTAAATCTACTGACTCCAATACTTTTACAAAAACAACTATCGACAAACTCCCAGAATCTAAGTGGATAAGCATCAACACAAATGAAAATAAAATTCTAGTGGGATGTATATACAGAGACCCAAACAGCTTTTAAACGACTGATACTGTTATCAAGGAAATAATTAAGTATGTACCTACTCTGAAATTCGACTAAAAAATAATTTATGGCGATTTTAACCTCCACAGAGTGAAATGGGATACCTCCACTGGACCAAGAATCCATGACGAGCAACTAGATGCTATAGACGTAGGAGAATGGAAGCAGTGCGCACGCCTCCCAACACGAATTAACGATATTCTCGACTTAGTCCTCTGCCATAAAATGGAGCCGAACTCGATAGAGGTGGGGGATAAACTCGACAACAGTGATCACAACATACTGTACTGCTCTCTACCTCTTCAACTAACAACTAAACACACACCTGAAAATTCCTCGGTTCACTATCAATACAGGGACACCAGAAAAATACCGACTGGGAATTCCTACCAACGCTCTTAAGAAGCTCTGACTGGGATGAATGCTTTACCAATGATAACTTAAAAGTAACACATGATACCTTCTACAAGACGGTCAGTTCGGTAAGAGACACAATCGCACCCCTAAAATCTGCCCTAAAGACACCAACTCTACTCATAGACCACAAAACGCGATGCAAACTAAGGGGACCGAAAAGAAAATTGTATTCATATAAAGAATTTAGTGCACTACACCAGATACATGAAACATTTAAAAATCTTGAGGAGAGGCATAAAATGAAGGCACAACTCGAGGAAAATAAAGCCCTATGGGGCACCTCTAAAATTCAGGAACTCTGCAAGATCTTGCAGAAGCAACTGGAAAGTGGTAAAGACAATAATGTTGGCCACTTGGAGCATGAAGGTATAATTTATGATGATCCCCAGATTATTTGTGAACTCCTAAACCAGTGTTTCTCCAATGACACCAAAGCGCATACGTCCTCAATCCACGACATAACCTGCAAAAATAACTACGAGTTAGGTGAAATCAACTTTAATATACAAAATATAGCATCAGAGGTAAAGAAATTAAAAGCGAACGTCAGTTATGGGATAGATGATATACCGTCTGTCATATACAAAACGGTGGTACGGATATGATAGTGCTATTACTTAGAATGGTTCGATAGCTTGCAAGTTGGACAAGGGCGGAAGTAATACGAATAAAAGTGCTTTATAACTTCATTTGTACTAAACAGTTGTTTGTAGACTTTGTATTTTGTCTCGCTTTAATTGCCAAACAATATAGTTTCGTTCAAGGAATACTGGTGTTTTGGATTTAAATTTGAAACCAATA